GCACTAGGCTTTCATCCCTAATCTCCAGACCATATTATCCTGCTAAAGCTAATGTCCAATCTTCCATAAAAAAGCCTAATGTTATACTGAATAGTGTGTTAGCTGGCACGGACAGCCGTTGTCACAGGAAGGCATGGGTCCTTCTTCCAGAGCTTGAAGCCTGAGTGGAAAAGTACAACGTTCGCAGGAGATGAGATTACATTCCATTCGCTTTTTGAAAGCCTGTGCTTGAGGTGACATTTTTCTTTCAGTCTTCATTTGGTCCTGGCACGGCAGAGCCAATTGCCTACTAGTGTAACACAGACACAGCGAGTGCTGGCTCGGATGCATTGCTGTCTGTGCTTCTGATGCCTGGTGCTCTGCAGCTGCATGCCATTAGCTGGTGTCTATGCCTGCCTCTGTGCCCATTCCAGCCATTTTATCACTACACGCTTGGTGTGGCCCCTGGAGTGCTGTGAAAGTGCTGCTTTATTCTGGTCAATAAAGTGGAGTTGGAGTTTGAAACACGGTGAGGCATGTTGTATTGTGCAACGCTAGGTGTTGAGTAAAATATAGAATACGCAGAAAATGCTGTATACAAAACAATTATGTTGCTGACATAGTGCAATGGCAGTGATGAAACCGCCCTGTTAGTGTGTTTTTGTTTTTTTGTCTGCCTTTGATGCAAGACCTTAATTACTGTTCTCTTACTTTGCTGAATTCATCCACACTGCCTGTACTTTTAGTGCTTTGTTGTCTCAAAATGTAGAATATACATCCAGCTGTTCTTTCATTATTCGCTCTGATCTGTGCTGTGTTTGCAACACTGCTGTGCTTAAGGAATTTTCCTTGGCGTCCAAAGTGGCATTGTTACATAGATGTGGGTGGGTTAACCACAACTGAGAAAAACAAAGGGGAACTGCTGTCCAGAAATGATGATCAGGATCCTCTGATGCCCATGTGGGCTATCACAGAGCTCCAGGAATGAACTTGGGCCTCATATAACTGAGTCATTTCCCTAACAGGAACCAATAGGCTCCTGCAAAAACAGCATGCTCGCAGCTATATAATAACATAGTGGTAAGTAAGCCAGTGCATTCTCATTCATCTATGTGCCATGTCGGACATAGGTGTATCACTGCACAGGCGACCGGGGAAAATTAAACCTTTCATGTGAGGTAAAGATTTCTTTGTACTGGTGTTGAACTTTGCAGGTGTAATGAGTGTAGAGCGATTCTTGATTTATTTCTCTTTCAGTTTTTACCTCTGCTGCGTTCTATACCTTTGTGAGGTTTTAATTAATACCGCTGCCCCTCTGGCACCATCCATCCTGTGACCGTTGTTATGTAGCTACCCCAGTACACTGCTGAACAATCAGCCACCTAAGGAAACCTGTATTTTTGTAACCTGAGCTGAAAAGGATTGATAAGTAAAGTTTGCTTAGCCCTTTTCTTGCATCTCACAATGTTTGCACTCACCACATGCAGGGTGACTCATTGCACAGTCATTCAATTGGCTTAAATTACCTCCTTTCATGGTCAACAATGAGCTCAGCTGAAGAGACGAAAGCGGGGGAAGTAGGGCCTTCTGGGAATGCTCCATTTGTTCATGAATCCTGACTCTAATTGGTTGTTATTGGGACTGGCAGTCACCATGCTGTAGGGGTGGAGTACGCCAGTGTTTGGTTCATACGCTTCCTCAGTCTGCTGCACACTGAACTGCCATATATAACAGCCAGTCATAACTGTCTGAGGAGAGCTGAGTGATAGAAAGACTCCCATCGTTGTGTCACCTGACAGGGGCCACAATGGAGCCAAAATGTCAGCTGTAACTGATAATAATGCTCATTATGCTACATTCCAATGAGCTATACCATTAGTATGCACTTGGGATAACCAAAAATGTGTTAATGTAATTTCAGCCGAGTTCTAACATTCAAAAATCTTTTAGAATACTAAAGTGAACAATGCTGGGTTTTGAATATGTGAAAGAAAGCTTTAATGTGAAAGGAGTCCTGAGCGCCCAGCTTTATAGATCTCCCCATGTCTGCTAGAATTGTAGTGCCCTAAGGCTTACTATTTTGGTTTTAGGCATCAGACTTTATTATTTCAGTCACATCACTCACATCACCATTGCTTCCAGCTGCATCAGGCAGCTATTTTCAGCAAAAACACTAGTGTACAGATGTCTGCCCAACACCAGCAACAAACAGAAGAAGGTAGCTGTTGACCACAATCTTACAAAGATAACTATTTCTGTCTGCTGGGTGTTAATGGGTAGTTCTGCGCTAATAGCACCCCAATAACATCCCCAGAACCCCCACCCACCCATCCCCCTCCAAAATAAATGAGTGCACATTTTAAGTAGTTATTAATATGTTATAGCATATAGTTTTCTTTTCACAAGGACATATTCAGACAGGATGACATGGAAAAAAAACCCAAAAAAACACATGTGTCTGGTTGGAGTCAAACCTTGCACACACTAGCATTAAGCCATTAAACCTCACCAGAACGCCCCACCTGGTAACCACGCTGAAATATTCAAGTCTGGCAAAAGAAGGCCCCACCCATAGCGAATCACAGGCAGTCTATTTGCTCTGTAGACTATTATGCATTCACTAACATCCCAGTAAAATCCCTCCCTTCACTGTCCTCGTCTTCTCCTCTTTATGACGTAGTAAATGCAGTTACAACCCTGCCCCTGTGCTGGGACAAGGCAGCTGTTGTCATGTGCTGGGGGATAATGTGCAGGCTGCGCCTGACTAATGGCTGGCTCTCTTGTATCCCAGTCTGCTGTTAGCACTTTGCCAACTGGGTCATCCAGATCAATGAAGCTCTGACAGGAATATAGAAAGTACATGCAACCACTGACATAGTCTGGTACATCGTAGCAAACTGCACATAAACACAAGCATAAAGCATAGAAATAAATAAATTATATTTACTTTCATCTTTATGCCTGTTGATTTGATAACAGCCATTTTTTTTGTCATCTGATAAGTGGCTAGTGACTGGATGCTGATTATTTACCCTTCTATAGGCACAGTCCTTGATAGCTGAAATGTACAGCTTGATAAACGTCCATAAATCGAACACAAACTGCAACTACAAAAGGGGAACCAAGAACGTCTGCAGTGGAGAACATCTGCTAGATTAGCAGCGTGTCTTCTCAGATCTGCTGCGAAGCTGGGCAGGGCCCTGTCAGAGTGATTGCATGCGATACAGATAACACACATTTAGTTTGCAAAACATGGATCAAGGCTTCTGTTGTAAGTGTGCGAGTACACCAGTGGAAACTGCAAATGATTTAAAAAGCAGACATATGTGTTTAATTTGGAAGCCTCACACAGTATATCGCTTCTGCTTGAATCTGGTAATTCACAGTACCAAGCATAAAGATGCCAAGAAGTCCAGCACACTGAGCTCCAGACAGATGGCAGCAGCGTACAGCCCTGGCGGAGGTGGGCATGGATGCTGCAGCAGGGACAGCATGAAAGATTGACTGGAGTGAAACACTAGCCTTCTGATTAAGTTTCCTCGTCTCTCTTCTGCTTCCCAAAGCAATGCCTTCCAGACAGTAACTGCATGCTACTGGTCTGTTTGGATGCTTAGCAGAGAAATACACTTTAATGTGTTCGCTGGCTGTGCCCTATGAGCTGCAGAAGTCCTTCACTATCACCTCCTCTTCTGTTCCTTTAAAATACAGTTTGGCCTCGTATGCAAGTTTGTCACTCATACAGGCATTTAAAAGCAAATAAGCTCCACCCTGTAGCAGTGGCAAAAGCAGGAATAGCGAGTGTTTGGAGGTGGGGGAAGGTACCAAACATTTCCAACTTACTTCTTTATTCCTGCCAGCTCTGATCTCTGGGAAACAAGAGGGAGGGGCTGTGTTTGTCGCCCCTGGGTTTATACTTATACTTTAACCCAAAATCAGCCCCTCCTACCCTTCATTCCCGAAACCTGCCTTTGGGTATCGATTGCTGGGACACACCTAAAGACACACACACATATACACAACAAGAAGTACATGACCACCAGTTTCCCTTCAACACAGGCTGTGATCACAGTAACTCCCTGAGGGTCAGTACAGAGGGGCTTCCAGAGCCGCATCAGACGAGTGATCTTTTGCCTGTGTGTGTGTGTGTGTGTGTGTGTGTGTGTGTGTGTGTGTGTGTATGTGAGAGTATGTGTGTCTGCATGTGTGTGTGTGTAAACAAGGGAGGGTTTGCTCAGACTGCTCATGTGATCATAATATCGACCCCGCTGAGCCTTATGATCTAAGGCAGAGTGCTGAGGGGTGTTTCACACTGAGGGGCAGAAAAAGACATCTGTGTTTAAATCAGAATGAACTGTGCAGTAGTTTGGTGAAAAAGAAAACAGATTTACTCATAATACTACCAGAAATCCTGTTTAAAAATGTATAAAGTAGGTCTCGACCCTACAAGTTCAAAAACAGCAGAAAATTCTATCACAGTAATTTTTATTGTTTGTTTTTTTGGGGGGGGTGGTCCTGAATTTTTTTGTCTGATGATGTCACCAAGAGCATGTAACTTTTCTACATGCTCACGTTTTTTTCCAGCATTAATTAAAGCATAATCAGTCAATCTGGAACATTACTGACAGATTAATTGATCATTAAACAAGTGTTGACGGTCTGTTTATTAACACTGTAAATGGAGTATTTGCGCTTTGTATCTCTACCGTTTGTATTCACATTGATATTTTCAGTAAAAGTAACTGCACAGATTGTAAATAAGAAATTTTAAACCTGGTGACACTAACATTTGTTAATTAGTGACTTTTTTTAAAAAGGTTTTTAGGCTGGAACCAGTCAGTGATCTGATTTTTCAGCATCAGATCAAAACTAGGCATGACCCAGATAATGCCTAAACTGCATAGATTTGAGCAGGTTATAGATCTAACCAATGTAAAGTCCCAGGAGTTCCACTTTATGAGGATTTTCTAGTAAAATTACTAGAATTACTGCTGACCTATCACCTCTGTCTCTCCATCTTCCAGGTGTAGATGCTTCAGGCGCAGCAGGGCCCAGCCTCCGTGTCAGAGTGGGACGAGGCTGCTCCCACCTGGGCCACAGGACTCCTCTGAAACTTGGCTCATGGTCTCTCTCTGAGCAATAACTGCTCAGATTAAAAAGACGGGATTACAGGGAGGCCATTTTGTGAGGTGAAACTGAGTCTGTCTGCGCTGGAGTAGTTATAGCTGGGATTTTTTAGGCTGCTCTTTGACTTTGAAACTCCACTACCATGACGACAGCAGTACAACCCAGTGAACTGGTGTTTGAATTTGCCAGCAATGGGATGGACGAAATCAATCAGGTACAATCTCACCAGAGAAATCACTTTTTCAAATGCAACTCTCTGTTGTTGTTGATTTTTTTTTTCATGACTCGACTTATAGGGTCTGCATTAGCGTTCAAACCCGTCGAGCTCAGTGGCCGACCGTCTGTCTTTTCCTACATGACACACTGTATGCAATCCTGTTGAAAAATGAAATACATTTCAAAACAAACAAAACTAGTGTAAACAGCATGGCCACTGGGGTAGGATAAGCCTGTGATCTCTAAGTTTGACGACACAGAAAGGGAGGAGGATGGAGCCGAGAGGAGGTCTGGGAAGAAGAGTGCGGGCTGCCGGTAGCACAGAAATGGAAAGACTGAAAAACCTGCAGTGAGGCTAGGGTGTGTGGGAGGCAGAGGGTGGGGCTAGGACGTGAATGTGTTTATTACCCAAAGGTTACTGTGTGCATTCGATGTCAACTTGTGCCTGTGTGTTTTTTCATTGCTCGGTCAGGTGTGCAGTTATCTCTTCCCCACACCCGGGTCTGAATCCTGTGGAGCAGGCTTGATTGTAAGTGTGGAGATGTATGTGTGTTTATGTGTCCTGGTATTTGTATGTGTGTATCTAGAGTGGCAGGCTGTCATTGGATCCCTGAATAGCACCAGTTCAAGCCTAACCTGATGGACCAGTTACAAGGCTGTTTAGAAGGGATGGGATAATTCCAGCAAAAGGTCTTGTATTGTTCCAGTGCTACAGTTTTGTGACTCGCTGCACCCACTTGGCCTGTTAGACAAGCAGTTTGCCTCTATTTACTAACTCATGAATATACCCCCCACACACACACACACACACTGAAACGAACAACTCACAATGGCACTTCTGCAGCGGCCATTTAAAGATTTTATTTTCTCGCCACAGTAAAGCTGTCGGAGCTGAGTAAAATCACCAAGTAGATTCTGTAACGATTAGCCTTGCTATATTGGTTTTTAAGCCAATGTGTAGTTTGAACACAGTCGGGATCTGCTTCAGCTGAGGGTAGGGAGACACAAAAAGGGTCCCAAAGTTTTTCCTCCATTTTTAAGCTACATTATAAAGGCATGTGGCTTTAGGCAAACAAGCAGCTTTTAAACGTGATGGTATCTCTTACGTTACGCCAGCTACACTTTCTCAAATATCGTGACGCGGATACAGAAAGTGTACAGACAGTTGGACTACATTGTGGTTAGGCAGGTAAAGCAGAAGAGAGTGAGTGGGGTGTGGGGGAACAGGCTGCACAGATGCTGTGCTTTCAAAGCAGAATGGGGAACTCAGAAATGCAAATTGGTTGGAGCTTTATCGCCTGTGTTTCCCTACTAGAAACACTATTTAGGTCAAGAAAGAGGAAGAAGCCGTTAGGATACTTGTTGTATGTGCAGTATAATTTGTGTTGCATGCAGGGTGCTTGTACCACCTTCTCACCGTTTTACTCCTTTAAACAACAGTTTCACTCTTTCATAGTTCTTGCCGGATTATCAGCGGGTTCGCACAGCAATGCAACTCTGAATTGTTCACAGAAAAAAACAGAATCAATTTAACATCAAAACAACAGCGGAGACGGCAGCAACATGTGTCTGCCGCTCTGTCAGCAAACTGTGTGGGATCACAGGCTGTCTGCATTTAGTGGGAGAGGGTGGGAAAGGCTGCTGTTTCAGACGCAGACAAATAGTCGCAACGGTTTTATCTCCTGACACACGCTTTGTTCTTATTCAAGGACAGAAAACGTAATTTAAGTCAAGCCGGGAAAATGGGGTAGCCTCACTGTCTCGCACTCTGATAGTATGTCTACCAAAGAGTCTGATTAATGGGAAATATTCAGTGCATGTCAGTGAGACACTGATAGCACTCGCAGTCATAGCAAAATCCAGGGTTTTTAGTAGTCCCAGGAAGCCTTGTGGTTTTTCTGCTTAGCTGTCTGTATCTGGTAGAGGTATGGTAGACATTATGCAGGGCCACCTCCTCCCTCGACTCATAAACACCTTATTAATAAAGAATCCATGAATAATTACCGCTAGTGCTGCTAAGGAGGGCTAACCGTTTAACACTGTGTTCGAATAATGAGCCAATCGGTTAGGCTCCTGGTTAAACTATAGCCGGGATGGGTATGCAGCCACGCACACTCGAATGCCCCTCTTCCCAGCCTCCCCCCAGCTCAAGGCCTGGACACCTGGTATGCCCCAGAGGGCCAAACCAACAATGGACACTTGTGCAAAGAGACAGATAAGCCTTTATTCATGTTCCGCCTACCACACCTTTTTGTCTTTCCTTTTAATCAGGTCATCACTCTAGGAATGTGATTTAAGGTGTTTCATTGATCGACATTGTTTGTCTAAAATGAAAACAAATCACAACATGAATCATTTGATGTAATCCAGCGAGGTTCCGACACATTGTCATTTAGAGACCATTTCTCACGAAGCTAAACATAGTAGCTTCGTCTGCCTGTCAGCGGCACAGAAGAAATGATTTCAAAGCATTTTGAAGTGTAGTGTGCTGCCATCTGCTGGTCCCCAGATGACTACATGTTTTGCATCAAGTTGACTTCTTTATATAATGCTGATAAAATGGTTTATTTGAATGATTATTAAGTCAGCATTCCACTGGATTTTCATGTTGCATTTTCTTTATACTATTTGAGAAGTACTGTCAGGTTTTGAGAACCACGTTTTGCACATATTCAAAGGACTGAATTAGCCTCTGATTGACTCAAACCAAGTGCCCAGTGAGCCCTTTTGACATGGTCTCTATTGGTGGAGTTCACTTTGGCCCACACTCTGGTAATTCCCTCTTTCCCCTCGCTCCTTCCTGCATCAGATTGTGCCATGCCTGAAACGAGATAGCGAATTCCCAAAGCACATTTAGGAGATGATGAAGGGTGTGCTTGCCTGCAATTCATGACTTCATGCATTAACATTCATTTGGTCTTATATAATTTCTGAACATAAGATTAACTCTTCAGGTGAAGTGGGCTAGAACAAACAGCTGCTTCCTGGCTTCTTCAGCAGGCTCCTCTGGACCAATACAGCACCACAGAAATGAGCTCTCCTCCATGCTATGCGCCTACACATTAGCTAAAAATGAGTGTGAATCTACAGTGTTTCACAAGGCAGTAAAAATAAGAGACCAAATCGTGTTTTAACATTATCTTGATATCGTGTGGTTTTTATATCACATTTATGACGTGCAGCAGAGGGATTGATTGTATTTTTATTGCATATACACTCAAAGACGTATGTACAAAGATCCACGGTCCTCTGCCTCCGAGGGGCATCGTTAGTGTTACAGCATCTCAAACCTTTCTGTGTCTGTGTGTCTGCTCTCTGTGCAGCTGGACGACCCGTCAGTATTCCCAGCGGTGATTGTTGAGCAAGTTCCCGCAGCCGATCTGTTGCAAGTATACTCGGGGCTCGAGTCCGATGAGGTGACCAACGGTATCATGGTGGATACCACTCTCCATGTGGTTGAGGAACCATCCATCTTGGAAGGAGGGGTGGATCTCACAGGTGCACATGCAATAAACGCTGAATTTTAATGAGACACAACAAAACTAACAAAGCACACAAGTGGAAGATGCAAAGCCAGAAAATTACAAACTACACATTTAATTCCTGCTCCGTTGCACAGCACAAACAGCCTTCTTAGGTACTCTTCGAATTAATTCATTACAATTAATCTGTAGGCTGACCCACAAACTATTCACTGAACAGTGAGTTACCTGAAAATTCAGAACATGCAAGCATGCATTCAGATGCACACGAGCGATATTAACTTAAAAATAAGTCTTTCTCCTTAAAATGAACAACGCTTTAAAAATGTACTCTCCTTGTCGTAAGTGAAAGCTGACATAAAAAAAGAACCTTTGTAGCCATTCACCTGTGTTTGACCTACACTTCTCAAAAAAGTAAATTATGCAAAGCATTAGCCTCCGAGTATTTCTTATTAATGAATTTGTTGTCATCTGGTGGACAGAAACAACAGTCTCAGGCACAGAGGACAGCATGGAGACAAATGAAGCAGCGGCGGCTCTTCTTAACATGGAGTCTCCGAACAACATTTTGGATGAGAAGCGTATGCGTAAGTTAATTTGCATGCTTATTATTCCACTCCTTCAGCTTGTGACAAAAACGTCAGCTTTGATCTAACGCTGTTCATAATTGCAGCTTGAAACACTTTTCTGTATCTCTTGTTTATGCTAAGTTCACACCTATGGCACTCTGCTTGAGTCAGACCTGACATATACCCCACTGAGGCCTGACCAGATGGACGGTGTTGCCCTTGACATGTCCGTAGACGAGGACACATCATCTATGGATGAGATTCCCCAAAAATTTCCCTTAAAACCTCAGAAAAAAACCAAAGGTAAGACATTTTTCCTCCTTGTTAGAACTCCCTCACTAAAAATTCACTGTTGTAGGTAATTAGATGATTTCACTGTGGCCTTTCACCTTATAACACACTACTCCATAATTTGAATCATAGTGCGAAAGCCGCGGGCGGTCCGTCCCTGCTCTCCCATCACCACCCCTAACCTACCACTCAGGAAGAAGAGCAAAGAGGGCAAAGGTAAGCCTCACTAACTAGTCCACTTTTCTATAATCAGCCAATAAAAATCAAGGTCTGTCCTCCTCTTGTGTACGCTCCATTTCCTCATGTGGAGTGTGCAAACAGCAGTCCTCAACCCCTGCAGTCCAGTGGGGTCGAATCTAGGAGAGTTAATGGATGAGGGGATCTCAAAGTGCTGTGTTTCACAGGGAAACAGAAGTGATTGCAGGCTGGAGGGCACGTTGATGCTCTGCCGATAGAAGGAGACTAGTGGTGTGCCATGTAAAACCTCATTGCACCCTACAGTGTGACTCAAAGAGGAGGGGACTGGGGACAGCAGGTTCAGTTGCACACATATACATCACCCTGTCATGGTGTCTGGGATGCAACTGACTACTGGGAGCGTTGCTGTTTTTAACCACTTCTGGCCGAAGCATTTCATGAATTAGAGTAATCTACTCCCACACTTGATATAATTAATGTCATCCCAAGGCACGCATGTACACATACAATGGCTGGAATAAAAGAGCAGCTCCTCCTGTAACCCTGTGGCGTTCATATATTCATAAACTGTACTACTGAATGAATTATAGATGTCTATAGCACAGCTCCAAGGCTTCGTCGCGAACGTCTGACTCACTTGAAAGTTAAAAACAAGACTAAATTTATTTCCCCCCCAATTTGCAGGCAATACCATCTACCTGTGGGAATTCCTTCTGGCCTTACTGCAGGATAAAAACACCTGTCCCAAATACATCAAGTGGACACAGCGGGAGAAAGGCATCTTTAAGCTTGTGGACTCCAAGGCTGTCTCAAAGCTGTGGGGCAAACACAAGAACAAACCTGACATGAACTATGAGACCATGGGAAGAGCTCTCAGGTGAACATACGAGCATCATTTTTCTGAGCAATGCTGTGCTTCAAATGAGCTTTTATTTTGCTCTGAAACCTAAAGACACGGTTCCATAGATGTATTCATAATGCCCATCAGGAATGACTATAATGTGTTGGACATCTGTTTTCTTTTCTAGATACTACTATCAGAGAGGCATCCTGGCTAAAGTGGAGGGGCAGAGGCTGGTCTATCAGTTTAAGGAGATGCCAGCTGACCTCGTGGTGATTGAGGATGAAGAGACTGGTTCTGATACCAATGTCGGCTACGGAAACCAGAGATCGACCAACGGGCGGTCTGTGGTTCGTGGAGGGTCCAAAGGGCACGGAAGAGCTCATGGTCAGCAGCACGTCTCGGTAAAACAGATGAAGAAAGAGCCAAACAATGAATGTCTCTACCAGGAAGCTAACGGTGGACAGGCTGAGCAGCTCCTCCAGTCTGTTCATATGCTGCAAGCCAACCAAGGGGCCGGAGTCCAGGAAACGGCACAAGCTTTAAGGTGAGCGACTGTGAAAAACACCAGAGGTGTTTTAAGAGGAACCAACAGCAAAGTGAGGAGTAGTTTTATTTTTGTTTCATTACTCCACAGCGGATACCAGAAAATCATTCTCTGCTTAATGATCTTTCAAACTAGGGCTCGATGGGTAAATCAGTTGGGCTGATATTAGCTTATTCTGGATCTAGCTGTCCATATGTCAGCAAAAGTAACAGATTTGCAATACAGAAAACCCAAGAGTGAGTTTGATATATGGTAGAGTCGGTGTCTCTAATACACTCTTTATCCACCAGAGAACACAGATAACACTGAGTCAGATCTTATGATTCTTTACTTTCTTGCGAAGAGCTAGACTACAAGATTGACGCTGTTGTCGTGTGTGATGAAAATGTGCCAAATGCTGGTAATCTCAAAGGCTAGAAAAGGGGTAACAGCTAGCTTGTCTCTGCTGATTGCCTCTTAAGAGCATTAAATGCAAGACTCTTATAAGCCATTGTTCTTAGACACGAAATATGCCCAGCATTCAATTCTTCAGACACGCATGTGTTTCACGCTTTCTTGTCTTTGTGATTTTTGTGTAAAACAAATGAAGTAAGAAGTAAGAAATCATATAATCGTCCTCCACCAAAGTGCATGTCAGTCAGGTATCCTTACCAATAAGATAAAAAACGTGGTAATTAAAATATAAATGTCATTATTAATCTCAAATGATACATAAACTGATTATTCTAAACTAAGTTTATGTTAAATGCTTTATGCTTAAATCTTACTCATACTCACACATGCATGCATCATAGCGTTGGGCCTGATATTCACAGAAAATGTCTGAGTCAAAGCTTATCGCTCTTATATTAGTGGCGGCGTCTTGTAGGGGGAACTCAATTACATCTCGAAGCCTCGTATGTACAAAATGTCACCTTTTGAGAATTTGAGATGCAGAGTTTCATTATACATAATAAAACTGTGAGGTGAGCACAGCAACAGCCAACCCAGCAGAGCTGAAGTAAATCTTTACTTTATATAATTCATTTTTTTGTTGTTGATGTCAGTAAAGTGCCAGATCACCTTTAGATTTTTACAAAGTGCATTTCTTCTTCATTCTGGCACAGCTTTACTTTGCATTTTATTTTTCTGTTGCCAAGTCTGCTGCCTGTATTATCACAAAATTCTACTTTTTTTTTTTTTTAGTGGTTAAACATTGTCTGCTGTTAGAAATTGAAGAGACTCATAATTTCCACAGTACAGCTGTCAGCACAATTTGTTATTTTAATAAAGGCTTTAGTTCTGCTTTTTAGGCTCATAGCTGTGCGGTCGCTAATTTTCACAGTAGGTGTCCGTTAAAAATAAACCTTGTATATATTTGCAAAGATATAAAGAGAATATTCAATTACACCAACTCTGTCAGAGACAGTGAAGAGACTCACCTACATCTTCTGTTTTTTTATTTTATCAGGACCATTAACACCCCTGCATCAGTTCCTATGGTCCTGACATCTTCCGGCTCGCTTCAGTCTGTTCCCCTCACTGTTCTAGCCAACGGGGACTCCAGCCACTCCCCTTCTCGGGTTATTCTCCACACCATGCCCTCCACGACAGCAGGTGGTAAAGATGTGCTTACCATCCATACGGCTTCCATAGCAGGTGGGGCTAACAGCCTGCAGGATGGCCTCCCGCAGCAGCTCTTGGTCACCAGTCTGGGCTCATCTGCCTCCTCCTCCTGCACTTCCCCTCCAGGAGTCATTAGTTCCACCGCTTCCAACCTCAATGGTCTCCCCCGCCTTGTCACCATTAACACCACCTGCGGGCAGACCATGGTGGCACAGCAGCCCGGCACCGTAATTGCCACTGTGCTCAAATCTAGCGACCTCTCAGGGCTGCAGGTGAAAGAGGAGATGCTGGACCCCACCTACTTTCAGTCGATGGTGAACGGCGATCCATCACTGGCCGCACATACTTTTGAAAAAGAGGAGATGGAAGCAGGGGAGGCGGAGCTGCAGTACAGGACTGTTATCATTGATACCAGTCAAAGCCAGGGCCCAGAGGGCGCAAGTGAAACTATAATTAATGGACATTCTTCTCAGAGCAGCAGCCCTAGTGAGGGTCTGACCCCTGTGGAGGAGCTGGAAGTGCGTGGAGAGATGTCCCTGCAGCCTGAGCAGGGAATCAAAGGCCTGCAGGAGCTGCCAGTGTCTGTTCAATTGCCTGCAAACTTTATCCAGATAAAGACAGAACCTGCAGAGGCTTAGTGCTGCAGGACTCTTCAACAAAAGCTGAACCAAAATTGAATCCATTTTCTTTACCTACCACAGTGATCTGATCAAAGATCAGAACGAGGGATCTTGCAGCTTTTAAAGGTTGGTCAGTTCAGCCTCAGGATTTATTGTTTACCAACATATTTGTGACCATGTGCCTAATTTTAAAAATCAAGGGAGTGTTTAGTTTTTTTAAGAAGTAACTTTTCAGATTTAGGATTCTCTTTTTCTGTAGAAACAATCCCCAACACACACACACACACACACACACACACACACACACACACACACACACACACACACACACACTCAAATACACACATATGCACACATGCACAAACACAAAATGCTTTTTTTCCTCTAGGAGAGTAGCCATTGGATAAACCAGGAATCCCTGTCTACCAAATGTGCCAGTTAGCTGTTTTTTTTTTTACTTTTCATCTCACTGGACTCACGTGTTTAAAGAAAAATGCAAGAAACCAAAAACCGGGGACTGAATGCCAAATGGTGCAATGACATGAGACATCTGACAATGTGTGAGTACCTGATCTTTACATCGGGTACGAGTTACTTTTCGCACGGATGTTGTGTCTGCTGGAAAAAAGAAAACCCACACATCTCGGAGTTCAATTGAAGAGTGCCTTACCGGAAGTTCAGAACAGTTCAAGACCGTTTGTTGGAAACAGCTGCGTAAGAGATGAAAAACAGACTAAATACCTTCACAGACTTTCAGACTTCCAAGAAGTTATTACGCATTTATTTTCATATAAACAAAATAGGTATGCATCCACTCTCTAATACCCTTGGCCTTAAAACACTGTGTTACTATGGAAATGGGCATTTTCCGTCTACCAAGGACAGTGTAACATCAAAACTGTTTGTATAGAGCTGCAGACCGAAGGCACAGCAAGATAGGGAGGCACAAATGGAGAGAAAGAATACACGAGATAAAACAGATTTTATCAGTCTCTGCCTCAGAGGCTCCGAGGTTTAAATCCTGTTGTTATCAAATGGAATATATATGAATCTATTGATTAAAAATAAATAAATATATATATATATATATATACATATAATATACAATTGAGATTCAATTTTAAGGCCACAGTGAATTTATTTATTTTGTGAATTCCTAAATTCTGTGTAAAAACCAGGCACATTTGTTTTCTATTTACATGTAAAAACCTGAGGGGAAATACAAAGAATATGAACGTTAATACCAGGAGGCTTATTTGGTAGTTTTTTGTAAGACCAACATTTTTCACGTGTATAGCTTTCCATATAATCAGCTTTGGTATTTCCTTGAGTTTTGGACTCGAGTGTTCAGTGCAGCATGATTACTCCACTGTTATATTCTCTTATATCCTCTGATTTAAACATGTACTGAATGTTCTTTTCATTCCTTCTTATCAGCGGACATACCTCTTTATCTTTTTTAACAGTCAAGCAGGCGAAACTATGCATTCAAATATATATTCGCTGTGTATGTGCTGTATAAAGTATCAAATGTAACAATTCACATGCCTTTGAAATCCTATCTCTGTTTCGTCATTTGTTTGGTACAAAGAGGAACCAGTGCTGTTTTTTTTTTGTTTTGTTTCAAGCTTTGCTCCTTTTCCCCTCCTTCCTTTCTCCTCTCCACTCCTGTCACCTTGTTACCTCTTGTCTGGTTTTCTCTCCTCACCGCCTCCTCGACTGCTCTCGGCTCGGGTCAGTCGAGTCTGTGCCTTCTTTATTTGCTGTCCCACTTGGTTAAGAACCTCTCAGGCCAGCCATCCGATTGGCCCCTTGGTCCTGCCGGGGATGAAGCCATATTGATCCTGAGTGGTATCCCGGCTAAATTGGTTGTATTTTCCAGCCGGACTGTAGCTGCAGAGTGAGGACATTCAGACATACTGACCTCCATCTGCACTTGCACCTAAGGACAGGTGTTAAACGCTACTTTACAACCTCACATCAGCCAAAAGGGCTCTGGGTCTGCAAAGACACTCTGAATGTATACTTGTTTTTAAAGTACATGCTTTTTTTTTTAAAGTACATGCAGCCAATAAGTACACTGGGTTACATTTGCATTAAAATCTGTCAGTCTTTCGGTGGGGATTTGCTGCCTTGTTTGCTTTGTATATATTCCTGTATCTACCCTTCCTTTTTCTCAGAGCACTGTTTTACTGTCTGTGAAACATTGAGGTATGTCCACTGCTTATGTTTTTGTTGCTTCTTATGACTTGGGTTATCAATGGCCTCCTTTATGCTGAATATAGAATAGATTTTTAAGAAAAAGTCAATATGCTAATTAAATGCAAAATCTTATCTTTTGACTGTTCTCTCTTTCTTTTTATTTGTTGCTGTTTTTGCTGGCAGAATGGTTTGGAAATAGAGCGAGGCGCGGATAAAGTGTCATACAAGCTTTTTTTTTTATTTTGGAAAAATTAAACAGAAAACCAAATTAAACTTGGAAACAAATAGCTTCCAAGCGGTTACTAAGTCCATTCATTTGCGCTGTTGCGATAATGAAACTGTTCCTGCCTTGAAAATTCAGAGTTGTATTGTTGGGCTGTTTAAGCTTTGGGGGACATTTGATCACATGGTATTTTGAGAGAAAGAAAAAGCTACTGTAGAAAACTGGATTGGAGCCATTAGCGGGCCAGAGACTGATTGGACTGTACTTAAGAGCTCTGCTTCTCCAGTTGCTGTGGGTGGATGAATACATTAGCATGTGACATGCCCAGAGCTGAAGACAGACGAGTCTGTCACCACAGTTTGCATAGTGAAAAGTGTGTGTGTGTGTGTGTGTGTGTGTGTGTGTGTGTGTGTGTGTGTGTGTGTGTGTGTGTGTGCACGTTTAAGCTGTGGTTGGCGCGAGAATGAGTTACACTGAAGTGGGTTGATTCTTTTCAAGCATGTGTTATGTTGATGTGTTTATATATGTGAGGATGGAGTGTTTGTGTGTTTGGGGTTTACATTGGCTTGGAGTGACTTTGTGTGTGTGTGTGTGTGTGTGTGTGTGTGTGTGTGTGTGTGTGTGT